TCCCATTGTTTATTTATGAATTGCATCACAGGCTGATGCTATTGTGTCGAAACTACAAACTACTGAATGCGAAGATGAGGAACAACCCACAGTCTTGATTGCATCAGATACGGTATGTAGTTTTTGATTACGTAGATAGTCTCCATCCACTATCACCAACTTCCATTTTTATGTTCTGGGGATTCATCTTCTTCTTGGTAACACACACTCTTAATAGCTCTACTTAGTTGGGCCTCACAAGTAGCCGTGTAGATTTTGTCTCTTTAGGGTCCTCTACTGAGCCATACTTTGAGCCTATTATGTGTGATTCTCTAGGTTTTGATTTAATTTTCTTAGTTAACCTTGCTCATCTTCTGCTTAGCATTTTCTTTGGAAATGCAATTTACATATTTGTGCTCTGCATACATGATGTTACATGTTTGGTAGCTTCTTTTTTTTTTCCTGCTCTTGAGGAAGATTACTATTTGGTTCATCTCTGCAAATTATTGGTTTCGTCCAAGTATCTGGCAGGACTTCTTTCATGCGTATACCTTATATTTGGTCACTATATAACCAAAGATGATTCATCTTTGTATTTGCTCTTTAATTTCTATTTTCGCCCATCAGATAACATTTTATCTTCAGACACTTTAAAGCGGCGACTTTTTTTCCCAGGCTGAAGCAATCATGCAGCGGATCCCTGGTGATGACAACATAGAGGAGGATAAGTCGACTTTACTTGTTACTTGTGACCAAGTACTGATTTGTATCTTTAATATCTGCTGTATATTTGAAATCTGCTGAGTTTCTGGTAACTTTAGCTTGACATGCTCAACTAGCTAGCCGTTATGGACAATCCCATTTTAGGCTAGGTTAGTAAGGCCTGCTTGTTAGTTTATAGGAGTTGATGAAAGAAATATAGGTCATTCTAAATCCCAGGACATAAATGGTATTTTGGTGATATTGGATAGTTTGTGAGAGACATGGCTTTAATGTTTTGAATGGTATGAAGGTGGTTGTCTATGAAGATACCGTCAGAGAGAAACCTTCGAGTGTTGAAGAGGCAAGGGAATACATAAGAGGTACGCTCGCATGACCTTCCTTGTTTACTACAACTAGAAGTTGAGGCCACGGTCAAATATCTAATTTCAAAACACAGGCTATTCCAAGGGTCACGCAGCAACAGTAAGTTCTGTGGTTGTTACAAATCTCAAAACAGGAGTCAGAAAAGGAGGCGTCGATAGAGTGGAGGTAACGATTTACTTATGCATTTCATTAGAATTGGGATTTTTTAAAGGTATTGTACCAGCTGATGATGTCAGTTCCTAACAGATCTATTTCCATGAAATACCCGAGGAGACTATCGAGAAACTGGTGAGAGTTTGCAAGTTTTAAGATTTATATATTTCACCATATCAATATTGCTTATACTGAAGTCTGACTTGATGACCAGATTGAGGAAGGCATGGTGCTTAAGGTGGCTGGTGCACTCGTAATCGAGCATCCTCTAATATTGCCACTCGTTAAGGAAGTGGTAGGATTCCTCGTCTTCTGCATATTATTAACAAAATTCGAACCATAACATGACTTTACTTGGATTCGAGACTTGAATCCTATTTCTTCATCATCATAGAAGATAACAAATAAACCCTGCAACAAGTTGATCTTATTGGTTTTGTTTCTCTTAAGTCCTTTTACACCGTCTTTGGACCATGAGTGTTGAATGTGTGTGTTTTTGTTGTATCAGGTTGGGACAACAGATAGCGTGATGGGTCTTCCCAAAGAATTGACTGAGAAACTTCTAAAGGAAGTATTGGTAAGCACATAGGTACACTCTCAACATTGAATTGGACCACTGTTTGGTCTCTCTAAATGTTGGTGTATTCATCGTGAGGATTATGGATAGTTTCCTAGTTTAGTTGGAAAATTTGAACAAAAATTGTTGTCAAACTAGTTTACTCAGTTGTTAATGAATTATGACCAAACCTTTAGATTGACGATTGGTAGTTTCTTACCACGTTGATAAAAATGAGTGATAGCATTTGAGGCTTATTAGATAAATATTCGTAACTATGGAGAATTTAAATGTAAAACATAATCCTCGGTTGTATCGATTTTGTGTAAAATTAACAAATTTTGATTTGAGTAAAAAAGGAAGGAAATTATGAAGAAGTTTCACTTGTCAAAAACTAACTTCAAAGCCCAACAACAATCAAAAACACACA